TTCTGAAGGATCGAGACATGAAGTATCATTGGAATGTTACTAAGTTACAGGTTTGCCTTGCTTATCTACCTAATCAAGGAAAAATGGTATAACCGAAGGGCGTCACTACGAACTCGTGGTGATCAGGTCCTGGTCGCTGTATTGGATATATCATCCTCCCGAAGGTTCGGTTATGAGGCAGTTCCAAGAATTAGGTTAATACAAGGCTTGACTAGCCGTTCGGAAGGAATTCTCGAGGATTCTTGGAAAAGGCATTGGGGAAAGAGCTGTAGACTTCCCGTTTTCTGAATATCACAAGAACGGGGAATGTATGGGAAACTTTCTAAGCTTTGATGCGCGAAGATGCGAAGGTTGGATTTAGGGTTGATGCCGAAGATCATGAGAGTCGGGTCAGAGAAAAGATTCAGATGGACGACCCTTTCGAAGACAAGAATAACCACATGAATGAAACTAAGTCATTCTATGCCAAGTTTGCATCAAAGCTTTCCATGAAAGGTTTACCTTTAGATCAAATAGAAAGGGATAATCATTCGAATTGAGGATACGATCTAAGGGTATGGCGTTAATGTTCTCTTTCTCACTGGTTGGTCACCTCGACTGTGCACGTTTCGATCACTAACGAAGGATTTACTTTAGAAAGATGTTTGAATGAATGACTAGCAAATTCTTACGGCATTAGAATCGAAAAAGGATTACGGGCACAAGATTTATCGAGGAGAAATATACCTGTGGCAACGATGGGGTCGGCGATTGTTCTTTCCTGTCCCAAAGTTAGGACTCTCCCGGTGTTGCCAGATGCTACTATCTTTGGACAGTTTCGCTTATAGTGCCCGACCTCTCCACAGCTGTACCAGGTTTGACCGATACCAGCTCCAGAAGCTTGACTAGTTGATGGAGTTGGGGTTTTGCAGGTTCGTGCGATGTGACCTTCCTGGCCACAGCTTCTACATAACTTTGCACGACAAGGTCCAGGGATGCGATGGTGGTAGTTACATCGGTCACACCATGGGAGGGTACCGACATATCCGGTAACAGGTACTTGAGATGTGGAATTGACAACAGAAACAGCAGCAGGAATAGTGGCAGCGTGGACTGCCACTATTTGCTGTTTCTTTGAGGGTTCTGGGAAGACTGACTCTTCTTCTTTTTCCAAAACTTTCTTTTCTCGCCACTCTTTTCTGTTGACTCGGGAGTGGTGTCTGCTTCTTCTTGGTCATCATTGTGATCGATCAAAGTTTGTGCCAGACACTTGGCGCTGTCATAGGTATCTGGCTTTGCTGCAATAACGTTCCCTTTGGTCGGCTGAGTTAATCCCCAGATGAACCTTTCTACCTTCTTGCTTTCCAGGGTAACCATTCCCGGACAAAGAAGTGCCAAGTCATCGAACCTTGAAGTGTAAGAGGTGATATCGGAACCTTTCATCTTCAGGTTCCACAGCTCATGTTCTAGTTTTGGATTTCACCCCGAGGGCAATACTCCGCACGTAGTAGTTCCTTCATAACTTCCCATCCCATAGCATTGGCTATAGGTAAAGTCAGGGATTTGACTCGGCCGTTCCACCAAGTCAAGGCCTTATCGGTGAGCGTAAAGGCGGCAAATTTCACCTTATCAGATTCCAAACAGGCGCAAATCTCGAAGATAGATTCGATTTTCTCTAACCACCGAGTTAGAGCAATAACACCCCCTGTGCCATCGAAGAAGGTTGGTTTTGCGTTCATGAAGTCTTTATAGGAACACTCCTTCCGGTGTCCCTGAATACTTTCTGGATTTTGGTTTTGGGAACCACCTCCTGGACCATTGGGGTTTAGTTGAGGCAGGAGAGCTGATATAGTGGCAGAAATGGTTGCCTGAAGTGTTTCTAGATCGATTTGAACAGGAGGTAGTGGCGGCGGAGGGTTGTTGGTGTTCTTCGAGTTAGGTCTTTTCCTTGGAGGCATCTTGATCTAAAAAGATCAGGAAAGAGAGGATCATAAGTCCTCTGAATTGACTCAAGATATATGGATCATGGATATCTCATCAAGACAAATATAACATTGTATTAACGATAAGGCAGGAACGAGTTATCAAGGCAGAAAATTTTATCACTAGAGTAATGACCAAGGAACAACGCGTATACGAGGACTTCTACAAAGGATCGGCTCGAGAAATACTCCCATATTTTTTCATTGTTCTCTGCAGCGACGACTCGTTGTTTGGGTATTGGGTAAGTTTTAGGCATGCTGCGTACCACAGTCACTCCCAAGCACATGTTGGCCGTGTCTCGAATGAATATAGTTGGCCAGGCTATATTGATCCTAGACACGACTACATAACTGCCCAGGTTTAACCGCAGTGTACAACACCCATTTACTTATATTTTGTTCTACTTGCAGTTACGGATTTCGATGGTCGATATAATTGTATACTTTAGAAAATACTTATATTTGTAGAGTATACTTTTAGTTCAGAACACTTAGGCCCCTTAATGTTTATAGTCTTATACCATGTAACCTTTGGTATACTAGTTCACTATAAACAAGGGCTCTGATACCAATCTGTCACACCCCGAAAACCAAAGGCGGAAACGTTTCCGGGTTGACTCCACGTTGTGTATCAAATCCAATGCACATAGTAAAGCAGTAATCACAAAACATTACATTACATAATATTGTTTACATCTGTTTGCAAGTAAAGTTGTACAAGTGTTTTATACATATATGATATGAACAAAAGTAAAGACGAGTCTTGGAATGCTCCGTCTTCTCCAAAAGGTTGCGATGTACCTGTCTAACGCTGACCTGAGAATACAAGCAGTTTGAAAATCAGCATAAAGCTGGTGAGTTCATAAGCGGTTTAGTTTTGAAAAGAACGAGTTTCCTTTGCTATCTGAAAAGTTGTTGATCAAGAAAATCCCATATTTTCTTATGAAAACGGTTTGGTTATCCTTTGTTACAATTTCGAAAACGGTTGGTTATATCATTCCAGGAAAATCCCATATTTTCCTTATAGTTTTAGTTATTCGTTTGTTACTTTATCCGTTTATGTGTTGTTGTACTATCCAGGAAAATCCCATATTTTCCTATGTGTTGAGTTGTCTATTTGTATCTAGGTTCGTTACTGGTTGTTATGCTATCCCAGGAAAATCCCATATTTTCCTATATGTTGAGTTGTTTATTCGTTTCTAAGTTCGTTACTAGCTGTTATGTTAACCAGGAAAATCCCATATTTTCCTATTTGTGGTGAATAGTATTAGTTACGTGTTCTAAACCCTTAGTTATTCTACATTCGAATGACTATTATCTACTAACTTAGTTGTATTTTCGAATATTTGGAATCACACAGAAGCGTACATTACAGTATTTTTGAAGTTCTGCTGATTCCAAAAGAGTACATTATTTGTATATTCGAAGCTCTGTCGACATTCTGAGGCGGATATATTTGAAACTCAGTAGAGGTCCAGAGGCGTATTTTCGCATTTATTTCGAAACTCTGGTGACACTCAAGGGGTACACTAACTGTATATTCGAAGTCTTAATGTCAACCAAAGGCGTCATTTCGCATTCGTAGTCGTATTCGTAGTCGTAGTCCTATTCATATTCGTAGTCGTAGTCGTATTCGTATTCGTATTCGTAGTCGTATATTCGTATTGTAGTCGTATTCGTATTCGTATCGTATTCCTATTCGTATTCGTATTAGATTACATTGTATTCATATTCGTATTAGATTACATTCGTATTCGTATTCGTACTAGATTACATTCGTATTCGTATTTCGTATTAGGTTACATTCGTATTCGTATTCGTATTAGATTACATTCGTATTCGTATGCGTACTAGATTAGTATGATTTCTTATTTAAAGAGAATATAGTTATAACACTTTTAAAAGAAATCTATATTTAACCTGCAATTCGAAACGTTAGTTATCACAAATATTTGGAAATCAAGACATTTAGTAAGTAAAACCATTGAGTTGAAAATCATTTTAAGTACAAAATACACTTGTACTTATTGCTTGTATTCCCCCCTGAAAACATTGAAAAACACGGAAAAAAGGGGTATGAACTCACCGGACGAGATATGTGACGGTTTGGATGCTAAGAGTTGATCCGGGGCTTGTAAACACACGAGGTTCCTAAGTATAATGTAAAGATACACATTTGTATCTAATTAGGACTTAGATTGATTATTTGATAGGGACAATTGTTTCTAGTCGAAAACACTCCGATACAAGTGTTTGGAGGGACCGGGGACATTTAGGGACACATATAGTTAGGATATTGAATTTGGACTTCAAAGGAACACTCCTTAGGGAGTTTACGGCCACAAGACCCTCTACCCATGAGTTTACGGCCGTAAACTCATGGTGGGGTGAGATATGGCACAAAATGGCTTGTAACACTTAAGGACATTTTTCTAGGTTTGGATTTAAAGGCTTGGAATGGATTTAAATCATCAAAATGACATATTTATGGGAGTTTACGGCCTAGCATAGCTCCTGGCCGTAAACTCCTTAATACTCTTGAAAATGGTGTTAAATGATGCTAAAACAAATCACATGTGATTGGAAAAATTGTTCAAGGCTCTACATGCATTTTCTTGATGTTTGAAGAGATTTTTGGAGTTTACGGCCTATGAGACCCCTCTCATGGCCGTAAACTCTCTTAGAGAGTATTTCCATGTGTTTTAAAGCCAAAAACTTGTTTGTATGGACTTCTAAAATTCATTCCAAGGCTTTAGGGGTGTTATAGGGGCTTTTTGACACTTTAAAATGAATTTATACCATATTTTAAGGAGTTTACGGCCCAAGCTTTTGCCTTGGCCGTAAACTCACAATAACCCCTCAAAATTTATTTTCAAGTGTCCAAATGCTAAAACCAATATTCTATAATTCATATCTAAGCCTTGTTTGTGATTTGGAA